GGAATGGAATTTGTAGACTAACCACCCAAAAGTAATCAATACCAATCCAATCTAGGTCAGCAAAGCCACTTACATATTTTTAATACAAATTTGAAAGCAACTGTATATCTGTGCCAAGTTATTAACAATGAGACCTCTTACCCATGCTTTGAAAGCTTTTTATTCTTGGTAGCCAAATAGTTAAAATAAACCAACCCACAGAAGACTTTCAGAGAACACAATGTCAGTCTTTCACTTTTATTTATTTTTTTTCACTTAAACATATGGTTAAGACAGTGTACTCTGAAGTTTGTATTTCTGAAGACTTTCCCTGTGAGAACCTACAGATTTCTTCAGGATTTTTCGTTACCTAAAGGAACCATATTGGACTGAATGATTTGAAAAGTACTGAATTTTAAAACATGGTGTGATTCTCAATTGTTTTTATGCAATTTCTATTTATGCATCTTTTACTTTTGTTTCAGGAGCTGTGGAAGTGTCAGTCCGAAGTCCAATTGCCTGCTGGTTTAGTGCTATGCTTCATTGCTTTGGTGGTTCAGTTTTGTCTTCGCTGATGCTTGCAGAACCTCCAGTAGGATTTCTGGCAAAGGGCACAAATATTCTGCTGGCATCTTCAGTCTGGTAAGCAGCCACAATTGAGTTAGATGAGTAGTATTGGTTCTGAGGAAGCTATACTTTGTAAACTGATATTATACCATCAAGCTTCCATGTAAATCAGAAGATTAACTTAAAAATATTATGAATTTGGTTGCTGTCTCTTCATCCAGAAAGTCAGTGCAGCAGAATAGCTGCTACGGTCCTGTTCTATAGGAATAAAATGCTCATGAGAGAACAACTCTTATGGGCTGTGCATAATGAGATGCTCAGTCACTATACTAGCCTTCTTATAGTATTCCTGGTCCAACAGCTGAATAACGTTGGAATAACGTGGACTTCTGTGGATATAGGTAAGTCATAAACGCAATCTAGTTTTTCAGCAGTAGCTCTTGAAGACCAGTACCTGGCTGATGTAAAAATTTTGTACTTTTCTGTAATTGGGGGTCTGAGACACAGATCTTCTTTCCTCTTCTCTAGTTGCAGCTTCCTCTGCTTCCTGACATCTTTTTCAATTTGGTTTGGTTTTTTTTTCCCTCTCTGCTCTATATTTCACCCTTTCACAAATGAATGGGCCTTGTAGTGGAAGGCAGTAGGGATCTGAATGGGAAGTCAGGTATGTGAACAAGGAAGCAATTTGACCTGTTTTGGAATTCAAAAAAAGCACTGGAGATTCATATAAGTGTTGCCTTCCAGTGGAGTTCATTTGTTACAGAAAGTGATCTTTGAAGAAACTTGCAACAAAATTGGTGAGCAGCAGTGGCTTTTTGAATTTAAAAATCTCAATTCCTGTGTTCAAAGAGTGTGATCTGCTTGAAATCCTTTAGTATCTGTCCTTTGTAGCCCCTTAGGTTTTATAATTGAAAATTAATTTAAAATGAAATTAAGTCTTTCTGTTTGTCTGTGTGTATCTAGTCTTCTGGTCTTCATGTTGCGATGGAAGATGACAGATTTCATTTAGGCAAATTGGTGGAGTGAATAATGTGCAATAAATGGTGTGGTATTAATAAAGCTTACGAAATCTGCTTATGATTCATATTAGTCTGATGCGGGCAATGCTACTGCTTATTTTAAGAAATGATATGAGTTAGGGGTACACGTAAACAGAACATGGTTTCCGTTGAACTTAACTTTGCCAAATGTGATCTGCTGTGCAAAAATGAACCTCATGGATTATTTTGTGCACTGCTGTGGATGAGGAATTATGAATGTTATGAAACCTTTTAAGCTTCTAGTTTTACAAAGTTCTCTCTTCATGAGTATAATGACTTTCATTCTCTGTCCCAAATCACGTAAAATGAAATTCCCAGGAAGATAAAAGCGGTTGTGCTATGTGTGAGAAATGCTCCTAAATAGTCTGTAGGACAGCGGCATCTGCTGTTAGCAAGTGTTGCTAGCAGAAATTAGAGGAAAAAATGCCATGGTGGGACAGCAACGCTGGGTTCAATCATTACCTGTGGCTCATAGTCCTAAACCCACGTTATGCAGTTAATTCTGCGTAGTGTTGTGTGTTGAGTACTGGCTTAAATTATTATTTGCAGGGGCCATTAAAATACATGCTGTCTATACATAGAATCATAGAATGGTTTGGATTGGAAAGGACCTTAAGATCATCTGGTTCCAAACCTCCTGCCATGGACCGGGATGCCTTACCCTAGACTGTGTCGCCCAACTTGGCCTTGAACACTGCCAGAGGTGGAGAATTTACCACTTCCTTGGGCAACCTCTTCCAGTGCCTCACCACCCTCACAGTAAAGAACTTCTTCCTTGCAATCTTTGACTTCATACCAACTGAAGCTCAGTTGCCTACAAAGGCAATTGGCTTTACAGAAAGAAAAAGGAAGAATATAAGTAGTTCAAAATTAAAGCTAAAACATAACATCAGAACAGTATTTAGCTATTATGTAAATTCCAGTAGGTTTCTTGTATGTGAGGCTTTTGCATGCTCTAGTCTGGGAGGTCTTGAACAAGCTTTAGAAGTTTGCAGTGGCAAGGTACTGTATCCACTGCAAAAGAAAACAATACATAACGAGGACAGGACTTAGGTTAAACTTTGCCTTTCTGGGGAGGAAGCTTCCTGGCATTCTGCTGTAAAGGTTAAGCGTTTCAAACCAAACCAAAAACCCAAACCCTGTGTGCTGTCCTAGTTTCTAATCTGTAACCATGAGGTGTAACTCTTCTTAGTTGTGGTATCTGCTAGTAGTTCTAATGGAGTAAACTAGATATGAGAGGAGCATCTCTGCTTGCAGCCTGAGTAAACAAGAGAAGGATACAGCCTTAGAAATTCTTTGTAGACAGGGTTGAGCTCAGAAGCCTAAGCCATTAGGTAACTATGTTTTTGTGGGTTTGGGGTTTGGTTTTGGTTTGTTTGGTTTTTTTTTTTGTTTTTTTTTTTTTTTTTAGAAAATAAAAAGTACCCTTCCCATCTTTTAAAGCCTCTCTCTGCTTTTATTTAATTTTTACTCTTATTCCTGTGCTGAAATGATCTAGATACTTAATCTTGAATGTTTTTTGAGACCTTGAATGTTTCTGTAAGAACTGCATTTTGTTTGTAACTGAAGAGATAAAATAAAACACATAATCTAATCTTTTAAAATTTACTGCCATCTTAGAACTTCATTGTTAGCCATCTTTACTTCGTTTTAAAAACAAGTTGATAAAAGATATTATTACGTTTTGTGTACTGTGCTTTCCGTGCTTTGAAAAAAGAACTACGCTTGTAATTGGCAAGCTGAAAAAGCTAGAATTGGTGGTTACTTAAATGTGAAGTATGTTTGAAAATAGATGTACTTTTCACCTAGTGTGACATTAACTAGCGGAGGCATTCTTGCTGAAATCATATAATTCCTATCTTTGTATCAATATGAAAGCAGGGTGTCAGCATGTAATTTACCACGCTGTTGTAATCCTATTAAAAATAACCCCCAAACCAAACAAACAAGAAACCCAGCCAAACAAAAATAAACCCACAAAACCCCAAAACACACAAAGTCAGTCAGGCACTAATTTAATAATTTGAATTATAAAAACATTATATGTAAGCTATAGAAGTATGTAAAATTTAAAGCTGTTTCTCATGTATTTTAATGCATTTTTCTCTGGGACAATAAGGCAGTAAGAACAATTTCAAATAACGTATGATGATTTTGGTACAAGAGCTCAAGCATGCTCAAAAGCATTTTGAATTTGTTCTGTCTACCACACGAGAAAGTTATCAGTAGGAGATCATGCATTGCTAGTCATATTCCACAAAATAAGGGTTATTAGGAAAGGAAATCCTTAGCAAAAGCATTTGAATGCCACTAATGGGTTTTCTCATGATTTGCAGGTATTTTGTGTTTTACTGCCCACAAGACTTGTTCTGTCGGTGCTTTGCCTTTCTGCCTCTTCGGCTTCTGATTGCAGGAATGAAAGAAGTGACTAGAACTTGGAAGATAACAGGTGGCATTGCACATGCAGACAGTCACTTCAAAGATGCCTGGCTTGTCATGATAGCTGTAGGCTGGGCCAGAGGTAACATGCATAACATTTTGTTTTGATGGACTGTGATGTTTTGGAGTGGTATTTAAATGGCTAGCCCTTCAGCGTAACTGTAACATTATTCCTTGCTGTGCTGGATACGATAGTCCTAATACAGTCTGTTATCCCCTCAAGGGAAGAGCCTGTACAGCAGTTTTTCTGCCTGGATTAAGGGTGACATTGAATGACTCTGAGGAAGTTTCATCTTATCCCTCCAGAAGGTCTTGTGAGGACTTGTAGGATGGGCAATTGATGGTAATAAAGACAGAGATAGCCCTTGTAGCTTCAGAGCTATTACTAAACTTTCCAACAGCGTATTTCCTCAGAGCTTGCATGTTTTCCTCGCATGTGGCTGAAGGAGAGAACTTGTTACCTTAGCTTTTTAAGTTGTAACCATTAGCTGATTTTAAACACAGGAGTGAACCTTGTTAGAATCATAGAATGGGTTGGGTTGGAAAGGACCTTAAGATCATGAAGTTCCACCCCCCCTGCCATGGGCAGGGACACCTCACACTAGATCATGTCACCCAAGGCTCTGTCCAGCCTGGCCTTGAACACTGCCAGGGATGGAGCATTTACCACTTCTTTGGGCAACCTGTTCCAGTGCCTCACCACCCTCACTGTAAAGAACTTTCTCCTTATATCTAACCTGAACTTCCTCTGTTTCAGTTTAAACCCATTACCCATTGCTACAGTCCCTAAAGAAGAGTCCCTCTTAAGCACCCTTGTAGGTCCCCTTCAGATACTGGAAGGCTGCTGTGAGGTCTCCACGCAGCCTTCTCTTCTCCAGGCTGAACAGCCCCAACTTTCTCAGCCTGTCTTCATAAGGGAGGTGCTCCAGCCCCCTGATCATCCTTGTGGCCCTCCTCTGGACTTGCTCCAACAGCTCCATGTTGAGGACACCAGAACAGTCCACAGCACTCCAAGTGGGGTCTCACAAGACCAGAGTACAGGGGCAGGATCACCTCCTTTGCACTGCTGGTCACGCTTCTTCTGCTACAGCCCAGGATATGGTTGGCTTTCTGGGCTGCAAGCGCACACTGAAGCCGGCTTATGTTCAGTTTCTTCTCAACCAACACCCCCAAGTCCTTCTCTGCAGGGCTGCTCTGAATCTCTTCTCTGCCGACCTTACTGAGGGCACACTCAATCCCACTGTCCCTATCACTGACAAAGATGTTGAACAGGATCGGTCCCAACACCGATCCTTGAGGGACAACCACTTGTTAATCTGTTTCCAGTTGGACACTGAGCCATTTACCACAACTCTTTGTTTGCAGCCATCCAGCCAATTCCTTATCCACTGAGTGATACATCCATCAAATTTGTGCCCTCCAGATCAGACAAGGATGTTGTGTGGGACAGTATTGATTGCTTTGCACAAGTCCAGATAGATGACATCACCTGCTCTGACCCTGTCCATGAATTCCGTAGCCCCATCATAGAAGGCCACCAAATTGGTCAGGCAGGATTTGCCCTTCATGAAGCCATGCTGGCTGTCACCAACTACCACTTTGTTTTTCATGTGCCATGGCATGATTTCCAGGAGAATCTGCTCCATGATCCTGCCATGATTCTTGCCTGTCTGCTGTTTGAAATATAAATCTGGAAGCTACCCTCCTAGCAGCTGTATTTGTTGTCACATTAGAACCATTTAAGGAAGTAGTAGTGCAGATCTTGTTTCTATTTGCTTGACTCTCTTCTTGTTTTGGGAAACAACAGATGTTGATGTGATGATCTAACGTTTTTTTTTCCCAGGTTATAATACGGATGCGTCTCATTGGTTAAAGTGTCCAACACGTCCTCATGTTTTTTATTCTGCTAATGTACAAATATGTATCCACTTTTCTCGCAGAGGGTCTTTGTAGTTTATAGAGACACTCTCTGTGCTTACCTGATGATGTGGAGAAGGAATGATAAAAGCCTCTCTGGAGATTTACTTTGGCAATTCAGGCATTTGCTTCTGGTGACGAGTGCATCAGTTCAGATGCTATCACATAAAGTTAAACCTGAGGTTCTTGCTAAGTAGCTAAACCTCTGAGGTTTCATGTCAGTTGCTCAGGTCATGCATGTGTAAAGATTGGATTAGTCTCTTTAAGTCTGAGCTTTGGGTGCCACATTTGGCACCTGGTGTAACGAGTTTTGCTAGGTGCAATAATAGGTCGTGCAGAAGTGGTAGCAGTCAGAGGAGGCTTATTGCAAATATCTGCAATTTCAGGAGCTGGTGGTGGCCTAATTTCCAACTTTGAGCAGCTGGTGAGAGGAGTATGGAAGCCTGAAACCAATGAACTACTGAAGATGTCCTAGTAAGTTTTTAAAAAGTCTGCAACACTTTAATTCTTGTTTTACTAACTCCTTGTGTTGACACTCACTTTTAGTGGTTCAGATCAAAAGACATGTTCCTATTCAGTGTTTTGGTGTGTATCTTGTGAGAGATTGGTTGGTGATCTTTGTTAGTTTTATTAGATGTTTTAATAATTTTAGGTTTACAGCACAAAAACACCAAATGGGAAGATGAGTCAACAAAAGTTATTTAGCAAAAAGCAGTATTGAACCAGTAGGACTGACTGGAAAGCAGTGTTGACTCAATTTGTTTTTCAGGGACATGGTCTCCTATCCAGAGTGAAAAGACAGTGGTACTGGAAGTATCCAAATGAAGTCTGCATTTTTGGTGCATGTTCTGAGCATCACTAAGATAGCTTTCTTTAAGCATTGTCACTCTTACTTTCTCTGCCAGCACTGTTTCTTCCATAGATATCAATTACTTGAGAAGTTGCACACTGGTTGGTCAATATAGCAAAAGTGTACTGCAAAACGCAAAATGTTACTTCTCTTGCAGAAACAAAGAATGGGAATATCACATCTCCCAGTTTAGCTGGTACAGTAAAATGAGAATTGAGGCAGGCTAGAAAGCCACAAGCTATTATTATAAGTCAAGATAAGCTCACTGTGGTAATTTCCTAAAATTCATTTTATCTTTCCCATGTTACTCTCAGCAATATAAAAATTATTTATTTATTTTTTAAAGTTATCTTGGTTTTCTGCATCCACTCTTAGCAGCAGAATAACAGAAGAGATATTTATAACCTTTCCTTTGGCAATATTTCAAGTTTTTATGGTTTCTGTTGGTTGCTGGCTTTTTCTGAAATTCCAGGTATTTATAATTTCTCTCCCTTCGTCAGTGCCTAAGTAGCAATCGTGAAAGCAAACTTCCAACAGGAAGAAGACACTGTCAATAATGGTGCTGTAAACCTAAATAATACAGATGCAATACTAGAGCGATGCTTACTGACTGTGGTGCTGTTTGCATATATTGTCCTTTTCCATGGTGGATGTGGTTCAAAGTAACTCAAAAAGGATTTTTAAAATTTTGTTTGATATGTGAAGCTTTAGAGTATTAAACAGAAGTAAGTTACAAAGTTGAATAGATAAAACACTCTGCAGATGGATGAGATGCCTGTATACACAGAGTTGGGTTGGTTTTTTACTTTCTGAGCAGGAAGTTGATGCAGTAAATCTTGTAGTTACTGAAAAGACAGTGAAGAATGTGTCTACACTAAGATGTTCTGTGATAACAGGAATGTCACCTGTACATGTCACATGTAGATGCAGATTAAGAAAGCACAGATTTTTCTTCCAGTATATTAATGCTCTCTCTTCAGACAACTTCAGATAACTGATGAAGGTTCTCTTGTTTTTTGACTGTGTACCTAGAAAGGGATTTACCACCACAGTGAAGATAGCTAGAAGATATAAATCTTTGCATGCTCACGTCATCACAACTATGCTGGCAAAACCTGGTAACATAGGCCTGGCTCAGATCAAGTATAAGATGACTACAAACCTGTAACTGCCAGACTGTCCAGTTATATTAAGCAACCCCTTGGAATAGGGCTGTACAGGAGAGGAATCTATTTTTAAGCCTAGTCCAAGTACTGCAAACTTTGTGATTTAACTCTTCAGTAAAATATGTTGGGAGAGGAAGAAAGGGAGCAAACTGATGTATAGAGTCTGAATATAGGCACCGATTTGAGGAGAATTTGTCAAATGTGTGTTTGCTGGGTGTGTAAAGTAGTGCTGAATTTGATGCTTGTCCATATTATGGACAGAAAGCATAGTAATACTATGTATAAAGTCAGTCTTAGTTTAATCATAGCTAGGTTTTGGACCTAGTCACTGTTACCAAAAGTTTTCATTAGTTCTATTTAGAAATATTTATTTTGCACGCTAAGGATATTACTGTTTTCACTGTAGAGAAGAGAAACTAACATTGTTTGTTTGATTTCCAGCCCTGTGAAGGTAACTTTGATAGGAGCAGTTCTTTTCACCCTGCAACACAGCCAGTACTTGCCAATAGCAAGGCACAACCTCATGTTTTTATACACCATCTTTCTTGTTGTCTCCAAGGTAAGAATGTGAAAGTGTTGCAAATAACTGAAGAACAGAAAATATTTTATTTCATTATTTCATACAAAAAACATGCCCTCAAACATTCTACTGCAAGTTAGAATGCATGCTTCTGGGTGGGAAGGTGAGCTTCTACTGAAGTATGAAACATGTATTTGATCTTCTATATGTGAGCAGAACAGAAGATCTGTTACTGATACTGTTGGCAGGGTGAGAGAGCAGGGAAGGAAAGAAGAGAGAAAATCAGGAATTTTGGAACCCAGTAGTTGATATGTCAGGCTTGTATGTCCATAAATCTCATACTACAAGCTTATGCTTGTAGTAGGAAATTCTCCTATTCTCCGCCTTTTGCTAGCTGCTTAATGCCTTCCTTGTATCTGTGCAGTTGTCTCTGCTTTTGCAAAATAAGCCAACTAGGTTCTCACCTAAAGTGTTTGCAACCAAGTGTTTATGTGGGAAGAGAAAGTGTATCAAAATCACTTTGAAGTAGCTGTAACTACTTTACAATAACATAGATACTAGTTCTCTATTGAATCCTTCAGTCCCTGCAGTTTGTTCATTTCCAGGATGATGCTTGTCTTCAGAATTATTAGTTAGTAAGAAAGTGTGGTCTCTGTGTTAGTAGAAGTCTGGCAATTTTAAGAACTTAAGAGTTGGTGTTGAAGAGACCAGAGACTGTCTTAAAGTGGTGGTTGCCAGTCTGCTTTCTGTGAAGTAACTGAGAAGTTTAATTCTGGAGAAGTTAGGGTTCAGGGAGCCAAGGCTTCAAGCTGATGCTCATGATTCTCCACCTAAACTAATAAAGGAGATGATGGGATTGGAGAAGGAAAGGAATATTTTTTTGGAAGTGAGAAATTACAGCTGTCTTCAGAAGCTGGCTATTGGGCTGCACTGAAGGGAGTTCTTAAACTGGTGGTCATACTGACAAACAGGAACTTGAGCATCCACTTAACTAATAAAGCAACAGTTGTGGACCTTACATAGTACTGTAGTAGTATCTTGTTTTAGAAACTTTTCATGTATTTGAAAACTGTAGAAGTGGTTGCCATATAAACTTGTCCAGTACCTGGATCAACAAAACAGATTTTTCTATCCTGATTGTAAGTTATGTATTCTAAGGAATTTCCACCTAAATCTCTCAACTTCATGGAATGAGGATGGCTGTCTGGAATTTTAACTGAGCTCTGGCTGTGCATATATATTTAGGTGCTTACATACTGCGTTCTTTCAATTTAAATTGAAATAGCCACTCCTTTTACACTTTTTCGGTTTGAACAAGGTACAAAACTTACACATAAAAGTTGTTCTTCACCTTAGTTGTATGACATTAAATGTGATTTACTCTTAGGATGATTTCAGTAAACTGACATAGAATGTTTTTTTTTGTGTGCATTGTTTGTACTGAAGAGAGTAGGTCAGAAGGAAAGGCATTCTTTGATCAGTTCAAGCTAAAGTGAAGGTGTTTCTGTTCCCGGTGGCATGGCCTTATGCTTGTGGAGAAAGTTAGAAATGCCATACATCTGTTCAGCTTTGAACTTGTTTTCAATCGATGTGGAGTCATTAAAACTTGTATTGTAACTTGCTCGTTGTTCTTCATAGGTAACAATGATGCTGACAAGATCTGCAGCTTCTCCATTTGCTCCCCTTGAGGCTGCATTAGGCCATATGTTCTTTGGCTTGCAAAAGACACCATCCAAAGTGAAGGGTGAAGGTGCTGCATCTTCCAATGGCTCTTCAGTCTGTGACCAATCCTCTGAACAGCACCATAATGGTGTTAAGAAAAGACAAGCAAAGAAAACAGAATAAGTGGCTTAAAATCCTTGATGGTCATAACCTTTGAAGATGCTTGTATTTCAGATAAGGCTGGCTGAGAAGTTTGTTTAAAGAAATGCATGTGGGGAGAGGATAGGGCTGTATACTACTGTGTTGTTGTTTGCCTTTGGAAGCTACTGTTGCTTACAACTGTTGCACACGTTGGATTTGTAAGTTAAAAGCAATAAATTTTTATAGTGGTTGTAAGTTTACGACATTTTGTATTTATGGTAACTTTAAATGCTTACATGCTAAAAAGATAGTTTCAAAATGCAACAATCAGCTTTGTTATTTTTTCTGATCTATCCCTCATTTCACTTCTTCCTCTCACTCTCACCCTTTACCCATCAATTCTTACGTTTCATTTGGATAGCATGGATTTGCACTGCAAAGTGTTCACAATAGCACGTACCAAATAAGAAGGACATCATCTGAGTAAGGCTTAATCACATTGTGCTGTAAAACCATGAAAATGTACTGAACTAATGCCTTTAGGAAAATAACTGATTTACTGTTGTAATTCACATTGCACTGATCTAGATTTCTATATTTACGTAAGTAAATTTTTGTATTTTCTATTTTTTAAATAAGAGTGAATTATCTGACACTTTTAAAACTCTTTACAGTTAACAAAGTAGAAACATTTAAGTGTTTTTGTTGTCTTGCTTTGACACTTTATTTCCAAACATTTGATATATAGCTATTTTTCATGTTACGTAGGGGATATACATGTGGTTTGTATTTATCTTTCAGTTTGACTGGGACTAGACATCTCCATCTGCACTTTTATCCAAGCATATGAATTCTTTTTCTTTCAAAGCCAAACTTCCGTTTGAAAAAGAATACCAAACAGTACATTTGCCTTGTTTCTCATGAGTTCAGATGTATTATGCCTGATGTTAATAAATACCAGCGCTAGTTTATAGCAACTACCTCTGGTACAAATGAGGAAGAAGCCTGCTGTCACTGGCAGAATTTTGGGGTTTTTGACCATGGGTTGGTTTACACAACACTAGGCCTGCTGGTGTCAGATGAGGTACCTCTGTCTCAAAGGAGGGAAAGGAGCTTTGCACAGGAGATTGCAGGACTCACTGAAAGAGCTTTAAATTAGATTTGAATGGGGAGAGGGATAAAATCAGGCTTGCTAGAGAGAAGCCTGAGGGCAGCATGTCAGTGTTAGAGGGATCGTGTGCTAGTGAGGTCCTTCGGTCTGCTGTCTCAGTGGAAGTAGGCGATGCAGATAAATGCGACAGCAAAGCCACTAGGGTTATTGATGTGTTAGAAATCACAGAAGTGCCTGACAATGGTCACATAGGGCCATCCTCATGTACTGAAAGATGAGCCAGTAGGGAAGAAAAAAGGATTGTCGAGCATTAGAACAGGCTGCCTACAGAATTTGTGGAGTAACCATTCCTGGAGGTGCTTAAAAGACATGTAGATTTGGTTATTTAGGGACAGTATTTAGTGGTGGACTTGGCAGTGCCAGGTTTATGGTTGGACTCAATCTTAAAGGTACTTTCTAACCTATATGATTCTATGGTTCTGTAATATCAGACGCACTGAAACTATTTGCTGAAATCTGCCGCTTCTTGCTCATTGCATCTTTTTTTACATGGTGTGGAGCAGTCTTCAGTGGCATACACTTCAGAACTGAGAACCTGGACATTTTAGAGATATTACATTTCATAAGAAGAGAATCTTTTCAGAGGGATCTCTCATAGATGTGCCAATTTTTAGAATAAATTAAACTATTTTTAAGGAATCAGATGTTTCTCTTCAGAGAATACTGCTTTGAAGAGTATACTTCAGCAAGTGGAGGTAGTTTAATCTTTGTACAGGCATGCCAAAGAGAATGTGGAAGGAGATCTGATTTGGAAAGACAAAGTTCTAGTTCCAGGTATATGTCTAAATTTAGAAAAGCTGTCACCAGTGCTGTGCTTAGAGGGGAAAAAAAAAAGTACCCAAGAAATTTCATGTGCCTGTCTAGTCATATTTCCATGATAGTGACCAAAACCATTGAACCTCCTCAGCTTGGAATCCAATTGTATAGCAAAAGTGTTGTACCTTGAAAGCTAAAATGCGTATTTTCTTCAACAGAAAATAAAAGAACCAAAACACCAAACCAACCAACCAAAAAACCCCCAATTCTTTGGACAGAACAGCTACCATATTCCTGACATTTTACACTGAAATTTGATGTAGTTATAAATGCTTGGAACAGTTGCTTGTGGGGTGTCTCAGTTTTTGTAGCTTTGTATCATGGATGTATGGATAAGCTTGAAGCTGCCAACTAACTAGTGATCATGATCAACTGGTTATACAGCAAAACCCACAAAAGTTGTCTGTTCACAGTTTCTAAAACTCTTTTGGATGTTTTTTTTAAAAGCTGTAATTGTGTATATTAGATCTTAAGAACCATACAGAATTGGATTGTGGTATGGAACTGTGTGGCACAACTGTGAAATACTGGCTTATAACTTGCTACTCTTAGCCCAAATAAATGTGAAAATATGCTTATACCAATTCTAAGTTTACAATTTGAAGGAAAATACATGGGTTTATATAAATTTTGGACTTAGACAACAACATTAAAAAATAATTGTTTTTATTGACTGAACGCCTTAAGAGAAATACACATCACACTAAATCTGTATTGTTGAGAGACAGAATGTAAATTATGCTGAAAGAAATCCTGTTGTAAGAACCATGAAAACAAAACTTTATGTTTAAAGATCTCACAGGCTTCTGAAGGACGGGTGCTCAAAAGAACTCCATAGTGAATAGTTACGTGCAAGTGTTCTAAAAACTGTTTTTTATAACACAAAAAAGATACCTAGTTGCTCAGGGTTTAACTTGAATTCTGTAGGAGACTTTAATACAGTCCGTCCAGGATGCCTTAAATAAACAATTACTTCCTAGCTTTCATGCTGATAGTTCTGTATCTCAGCTAAACTTCTCTGTGCGAGATTGGTAAGAATTCCTTGTAACTGTTCTATTTGGTAAAGCATGTCAGATTCAGCAGAACTGCATATGTGAACTAGTTGGCTCTATCTAATTTTATCATCAACCTGGTAAAATTAAAAGTAGTGCTTTTGTGCTAATATAAACTAAGGGTTGAAGGAGTTGTTTCATCAGCTCAGATCTCAGGCTGGAAGGGCCTATTTGTAATTAATCCAATTGATGTTCTGGGTCTTCATTTCCATAAAGTATGCCAAATTTCTGTAAAAAGAAATACCTTAAAAATTAATGAACAGAACCAAAGTTGCTTTAAATGATAAATGCATTTTGCTTTGCTCTTCTTTATTGCCTCAATTTCATTTTATTTGAAATAAGTGGAGACAGGAGGCTATCGTACAGACAGTGCCTTCATTTCCAGCTTGATTCGTCAGTGTTTTATTACACAAGACACAGTTGTTCAAGAATTCCAAGCATCTGTCTTCTGTAGGAATCTTAAGTTTGCTCAATATAAGGGCTGTGCTGAATCTAACATCTTTGAACAATCTGCACAGTAAATGTTAGCTTTACTTGGAATGCATACTCTTAATTTATAAGGTGAACCCTCATTCACCTAAGGTCTAAGTGAAGTCTTACAAAGAGTAGCAACAGAGAAGAAGCATTTGACACTAAGATAAGAATCAAAAATGTGTTGTAAATAGTAATTTGCATTTGCTCTGATGAAACTGCCCTGTTAAGCAGTCAAATGCCTTTTGTGAAATGTGTGAAAATGTCCAGCAAAGAGCAGATAGTGATACAAACACTGACAGAGAAATACATAAATATTCCCAGGCAAGAACAGCTGATTGCACACTGATGTGCAAGTGAGTTTTATCTACAATCAAGAAGTAGAATATGATGATAAAATGCCATACCAAATAAAAACTGCTGCAGCCAAGTTTGGTAAACTAGTGCATGCATATGTCCAAGAACTTCTGTCAAGGAGGAACAGAATTGGTTGTTGAATGGAGATCAGTGACAAGTGGTGTCCCTCAGGGGTGCATGTTGTATACTGGGACCAGTGCTGTTTAATATCTTAATCAATGACATAATGGGATAGAGAGCATTCTCAGCAAACCTGCAGATGACACCAAGCTAAGTGGTTTGGTTGACACACCTGAGAGAAGGGATGCCATCAGAGGGACCTGGACAAGCTTGAGAAGTTGCCCCGTGTTAACCTCCTGAGTTTCAACAAGGCAAAGTACAAAGGTCCTCCTTTGGGTCAGGGCAATCCCTGGTATCAATACAGGCTGGGGAGGAAGGGATTGAGAGGGAGTGTTGGTCTCTGCCCTGTGGAGAAGGGCTTGGGCGTGCTGGTGGATGAAAAGGTGGACATGACCCAGCAATGTGAGCTTGCAGCCCAGAAAGCCAACTGCATACGGGGCTGCACCCAAAGGAGCATAGCCAGCAGATCGAGGGAGGTGATTCTGCCCTTCCACCCTGCTCTGTTGAGACCCTACCTGCAGTACTGTGTCCAGCTCTGGAGTCCTCAGCACAGGAAAGACATGGACCTGCTCCAACAGGAGGGTCACCGAAATGTTCTTCTGTGGAGACAGGCTGAGAGTTGTGCTTGTTCAGTCTGAAGAAAAAAAGGCTCAGGTGAGACATTATTGCAGCTTTTCAATATGTAAAGGGGGCTTATAGAAAACTGGAGAGAGACTTTTTTAGTAAGGGTAATGGTTTTAAACTAGAAGAAGGTAGACTCAGATGAGATATAAGGAAGATTTTTTTTAGGATAAGGGTGGTGAAACACTGGAACAAGTTGCCCAAAGAGGTGGTATACCTTCCCTGCAAACATTCAACATCAGATTGGATGGGGGTCAGAGCAACCTGTTCTAGTTGAAGATGCCCCTGCTTATCACAGGGAGGTTGAACTAGATGACCTTTATATGTCCCTTCCAACCCAAACTATTCTATGATACTTTGATTCTATGAAAAAAAAAGTTTCTTCATGCTGTCAAGGTGGTTGAGACAGCCTTACTGACCCTGGAAGCATGACA